AGTATTTTTCTCTGATGAGGTTTTAACTTTTATTCAGGGTAGTCTTGTGTTTTTAAATTGTTTAAGTGGTAAGATGTACTGTGTACATTTTATTTAGGATTTGCTTACAAATATGTTTTGAACTCTTTATGAAGTCTTTAAGTATCATGCCAGTTCTTTTCATGTTATACAAAAGTTCTCTCAAAGGGGAAAAAGACAGTTTACAGCCAGAATGATTGCATTTTGGCTGTCAAGGCAATAATTAACTCTGCAAAAGCCTGTGGTCAGATCATTTTATGTATATGTAGCCTAGATTAAATTACAAGTACCTTGTTCAGTGCAGGTACATTTACCGTATAGATTTGTTTTGTTTTGATTTTTTCATGTGGAATGCTGCCTTGGTCATCATAATGTCATCTCTATTTCTGTACTTTCTTTTTCACGTTAAAAACCTTCAAATAAAACATGTAATACACACACACACAGAAAATCAAAACTGTCTTTATCCACAGTTAACATAAATACCTGCACAGAAAGTCCATGTCTGCAAAAGGCTACAGCACTAATGAGTAAAGTGGATTACAGGATCATTATAAATATTGTAGAAATCAATTATATGGGAGGCTGAGGCAAGAGGATCCCGTGTGAGGTCAGCCCGGGCAACACAGTGAGAGCCTATTGGAAGGAAGGAAGCAGGGAGGGAAAGAAAGAGGGAAGAAATGAAAGAAGGAAGGAAAATACAGAGGGAAAGGGAGATGGGTGGGACATAAATACTATCATCACTTAGGTAGTTTCTTCAAAAGTGAGAGTCACACCCAGAAGTTGACACAGCCATTCTTCTTCTCTCGTCAAGATACATGAAAGTGTGTCTCTATAAGGACTTACACATGGATGTTAATCACTCCTTCGTGATAGCCCAAGTAAGAAATGGTACTATTTCACATTCCCATCAGCAGTGTCTGAGAGTTTAGGTTGTTCCATGTCCTCATCCACACCCAGAATGGTCACTCATCTTTCATTTTAGCCATCTTAGCAATTGCATAGTGTTATCTCACTGTTTTCTTCAGTGTTATTTTTGCTATTAGTAAGAGGTTATTGTTAAGTTTGTATTTACAAATTAAATACAGTAACACTGTCTTAAAATGTGCTGACCATCCAGGTATCTATGAGCAGGTAAATGGAGACACAAATCATGTTGTACATATACACTGAAATATCAGCAATAAAAAGGGAGACTCTTTGGTCCATTCAGACACAGGGGTAAATCTCAATATGACCATGACAAGCGAAGAGGAGCAAGGGTCAGGTGTACTATATACTTTCATTTGCATAAAATCCCAGGAACTACAAAGTGATAGTAATGTGAGAAATCAGAGTTGTGATTCCCTGGGGACAGGGAGCAGAAAGTAGCATATTCCCTGTTCCAATAGTTTAAAAGCTCATTAGCAAAACCAGTCTATGACAGTAAAATTAGTTACAGGAAAAGACCACACAAAACACATCTGAAAAATCACAGACTATGGATTCTGTGCAGGAAATTGGTGGAACACTGTTTTGCCTCAGGGCCCTGACCTATTCCTTTCAGTATTGGAGGCAACAACATAAACCCCCTGATTAGTGCCTGAGAACAATTAATGTCCAGCTTGGGTTCAGGCCTGCAGGAAAACCTGCAATTGTCTGGGGGGCAGGTTGCTCAGGGAGCAGAAAGGTAATGAGGGGGTGGAACTGCTGAGCCCCACACTAGCCAGAAAAAAAGGAGTCACCCTTCCTTCATCATTTTATGTCCTCTTCCTTGTCCTTCACCCATGCAGCTCCTACGCTGCCAGTTCTGCCTCCCAAATGACTTTAATTCATTGGCTACTTTTCTCCATTCTCTCTTGTGACTTTCTCATATCTGTCCCCTCTCCATCCCCATGGTGATTTGCTGGACCTTGCTGGCCCCCGACAACAAAGAGAGTTGCTCTGCCTCCCCTGAGCAGCTCAGGCACCCCAAGGGGAAAGGCAGCCTCATCCTCTCCTGAGGTTCCACGGTGTGTGGTGGGTGGGTGGAACACTGAACCACTGGATTCCCTGCTGTGATTCATGAAACCCATAGGAGGGAGATGCTCCAGAGAGGAGAGTGTGGAGACAGCGAATCAAAAAGAAGCATCAAGAAAATCATGCTGAAAACAGGCTTGAGGGGAGGAGGGTTTTATTGAAAGGACTCACACAGCAATTCTCAGAAGTTGCAGACCCCCAAGGTGAATGGTGTTGCGTGCTTTTATGGGGCCATACCTGGAGGACAGGGTGTAGCGTGTCCAGTAAGAATACCGGTGAAGGGAAGAGACTGCTGAGTTTCCTTTCTGAAGCAGTCAAAGGTCACATGCTGAACGGGTGGGAGATGTGCCCCCTCACTGGCTCTGAGAATGTTTTTGATATGAACACTTGCTTTCCAACTCCCGAAAATACCAGGCCAGAGCTGTGTCTCTAGGCTTTGTGATGAAGGGGTAGTCACTCTCTGGAGGCACTAGGGGTATGCCAGAGCTTCAGATCTTACACTGGCAGCACACAGGGACACAGCAGCTGGACTGGCAGCAGCAGGGCTTGCAACAGCTGGACTCACAGCAGCAGGGCTTGCAGCAGCTGGACTGGCAGCAGCAGGGCTTGCAACAACTGGACTCACAGCAGCAGGGCTTGCAACAGCTGGATTGGCAGCAGCAGGGCTTGCAGCAGCTGGACTGGCAGCA